CCAATGGAAACAAAAAAAAAAAAAAAAAAAAAAAAAAAAAAGAAGCAATTTCTGTTTTTCTGTTTCAGAAAGAAATGCTGTTCGTTTAATAAAAAAATGTTTTGAAAACAGGTTTCTAATAATTTTTCTTTTTTTTGTGAATGTTTGTAAAATCAATTTTTGAATGATTTGGTATCAAAGTAGATTCTATGTTCAATTGTTCTCTTCTTATTAATTTTAATGCACACTGACAAATCAACAAAATATAAAACTGTTTCTCATACATAATTCATATCACTAAACACACAAACACACACGCATGCATACATACATATATGTATCTATAGCTGGACACTTGCACTTGAGGATAACTGTCTACTAGGGTGGCTAGCCAATCCCTATCGCAGATGCTTGCTCAGGCACATTTGTCTTTGTTCAACACCCACAGATCCCACCTGTGGTTTATACTGCAACTATGCTAAGCAGAGCTTACAGCTTCTGCGAAATAGCATATTATCTAGCATGATCAACAATCTGATCAAGGTCAGCACACTCAAACCCTCGCTCATGATGACATGATTTTGTGCTAGCACAGCTATTGATGGTCCCCAAGGGTAACATCTACCCAATTCCACTCATACGGCTTTGGTCAACCCGTGGTGTGGTTTTCAGGCAATTTCCAAAGGTGCCACATGCTGTGATCACTGCTTCCTGACCGATAACATCAGGAAGGAGACTTCCTGACAAATCAACTATGTTGAGATTTGAACCCAAGTCTCATGGTCAGAAAGCAAACATTCTAACCACTCAGGCATGTGCATATATATATATATATATATATATATATATATATATATATATATATATATATATATATATATATATGTCACTGAGGAAATTGATGACAAAGTGTAAAAAGTTTACTTGTGATGTGTTTCATCCTTCAGGACTTCATCAGACTAAATTTTTTATGTTAGTATGATTACACATGTTCATGAACAAGGGGCAGTGGCGTAGCTAGGGGGGGCGGATCGCCCCGGGTGCCAGCACAGGAGGGGTGACACAATGTCACCCCCAACAAAATTTTTCAACCAGGCTAAGGTGCCAAAAATAGTCTGAAAACAGTGATGGAGACACAGGGTTTTGCAGGCTGGCATATGACCGCCCCCAGAAATAATTTATGACCCCCCAGTTTTGTCCCCACTGTCAGAAATTTTCTAATAAATTGTCGGGAAATTTGTGAGTAGGAAAAATAACAATGTTTTCAGCTTTTGATTTGAACTGAGTATTTTGTTGTAATGGATTTTGTAATAGGAGTGACAGTGACTTACCAGGAGCAAAGCGAATTCGTTGCCTCGCATGTCGAACCATTCTCTGAGAGTCGGTCGCGCGTGCGCCTACTGCCATTTTTATGCAGCAGACTTATTTGCATAAGAGAACCACGCTACCGATTAAAAACCCGGCGAGTGGACGTGGGAGGCCACTGCTTTTCTAGGCTTCGGCGAGACTAGACGGATTGCAGACAGAAAGCGACTTCTGGACATACGACAGATTTTGTCTTGGATCATACATGTAAACAGTAACATACCGGTCAGTAGAGTAAAGTAGAGGTAGAGCATGTATGAAAATTTAGCTACAGCTAACCATTCAGCATAGGGTGAATCAGGGTCATTGGGGTGACATTTGAGCAGACTGCCCCGGGTGACATCTACTCTAGCTACGTCACTGACAAGGGGTGCTGGAGATTATAGAATTTTTTAAATTTTTTTATAGAATTTTAAAAAAATAATTTTACATTTTCTTTTATATATCTATTCAATTTCATTTATAGCCTTTTTCTTTTTCTTTTCATCACTTTTGTTAGTAGGTATTCCACTTTGTGACAATAAAAGATCTGCAAGGAATGGTAAAATGTTGTAAGAGCCAGGGTGCAAAAAAAGGAAAAGACTCTAAATGAATTCAGGTAGATATATATAAAAAAATTCTATGAAAAAAATTCTAAAATACCCAACAGGCTGCATTCATGCACATATGTAATTATACCAACATAAATTTAGTCGAAGGAAATCCTGAAGGATGAAACATGTCAACAAGTAAACTTTTTCCACTTTGTCATGCAATTTCCCCAATATTATACTTGATATATATTTTTTTTAAGCTCCCCCCCCCAGCAAAGTGGGAATTCACTAGCATGCAACGGATTACAGAGAGTTGGAGCGAGAGAAAATAGGAGTGATAGAGGAAAGCATGAAGAGAAAGATAGGGGATAGATCAAGGTATCTGGAGACGTCGATTGACATTACATTTGAATAGATGGAGATTATAGCTATCAGGGAAACAGGAAAAGGGGAGGGAGTTCCACAGGCAAGGAGTGCAAGACATGAAGTTATTGGAGTAGAAGAGGCGGTTATATTTAACAGTTCCACCAGTGAAAGGGTGAGAGCGAAATGCCAGTTTAGTAGAACGCTTAAATTCATGAAGTCTGGGAACCAGCAAAAGCAGCTCATTGGAGCAGTTACCATGAAAGTATTTGTAAAAAAGACAAAGAGAGGCGATGACATGTCTGTGAGAGAGTGAATGCAGACGAGATGCCAAATCAGGGCCAATTACATTGCATATGCATCTCTGGATTTTATCAAGAACCTTGAGATAAACAGAAGTATCTTTTATTAAATATGGCTGACAAGGAAGATTTAAATAAATTTTTATTTATTTTTTCCAGTACAGAAATTTTCATTGTCCCAAGAATTTCTGGGCAGTTCTTTAACCATTTTCAAAGGAGTTCTGTTTTTGGTATTGCTAGTTTTTCCTCATGCTTTGACTGTTTAAGTTGTATAATAACAAAAATAAAATACAGCTTAAACAGTCAAAACATGGAGAAAAACTAACAACAAACACCAAATGAAAAATGGCTAAAGTTGTGGCTAAATATGCCTGGGATAATGAAAATTCTGGAAAATTTCTGTACTCCCTTACTCCTACAGAACGAAAAAAACGTAAGGATGCTGAAAAAACTAAATAAAAATTAATTAAATCTTCCTTTTCTGCTATATTTAATAAAAGGTATTTGCTGCTGAAATATACATTTTATATATATATATATATATATATATATATATATATATATATATATATATAAGTATATGATTGGTGTATACGGAATAAATTCCAATAACCAACAATTACTATTCTTAAAAGAGTGCTCAATACAAAGTAGAGCGAATATATATGTTATAAAAATAAATATGTTATAAATATGTTATGATGATGTTGAATGTAGATTGTATGTTCTTCAATCTGCATTCAACATCATCACTTGATAAGACACCAAAAGTGTTGAAACAAAATGGCTATTTTTGTAGTGATTTTATAACATATTTATATTTAGTGATTTTATAACATATTTATTTTTATAACATATATATTCGCTCTACTTTGTATTGAGCACTCTTTTAAGAATAGTAATTGTTGGTTATTGGAATTTAACAAAATTTTTAAGTGGTATACATTTAAATGTTATGAAATAAAACCATAGATTTAAAAACAAATATGAAATTACTTTATTAAAATTATTAAATCAAATGTTCAGTGCTACATATTGGAAACTTTGACGATATTAATTCATAATTCAATAAAACTTTGTAAAAGTTTTGAATTAAACAAAGAATGTTGAATACAATTATAAGAAAAAAAGGTTAATATTCATTTATTCAAATAAAAGAAAATTTTAAAAAGTTAAATTAAAAAAATAAAAATACATTTTAAAAACTGAATATTAAAACAATGTATTTAAAATAACATAATCGAAGAAAAGAATTATTTGAAAAAGTTTAATACTTATTCATTTATTCAACTACTAGTGCTGTATCATTACTACTCCCATGCATATATGTTACAATATTTCATGGCATACTTAAGAGGGTCACATGGCACACTAGTGTGCATATATGTGCATGCATATAGGTCACATGACTAAGTCTGAAGACTAATGCTGATGACTTTTTTCACAACAAATATTTATTTTTCAACATAATCTCCTTCATTATTTACATTTAGGCTAACATCCTCATCTTTATTATTATTATTATCACGTTTCAGCTATTGTGCCTGTTGGCTTTTTTCAGTTGTCTGTGAAGGTTACCCAGATCAACAATTATCCAAAAAAGGGTAGAAAGAAAAATGTCCAAAACAACAAAGATGAGGAAATAAGTCTGATTGTAAATAATAAAAATAATATCAGAAATTCCAACAAAAATAATCCCCTTCCTTGTCACTGCACTTAATTCACATATATTGAACATTATACATTGAAAATTTCAGATAAAAAAATTCAGTTAAATACTACATGTCAGAATTCAGGCTTATTGATCTACACTTATATAATGTTTGGCTTTAATGTCTGCTAGCTAATACCTGTTGCAGCTACCTGCCCAGGCACATTTGCATTTGTTCAACATCCACAGAGACCACTTTTGGTTTATAATGAGTGAACTTTAGTTACAGTTTCTGGGAGAGATTGCATGATCTGAACCAAGGCCAGAATGCTCAAACCCTTGATCACAATGACTTGTGACTTTGTGTTGCTATAACCACTGACCTGCTTCTTAATAATTCTGTCTTACTAATTTCTCTAACAAGACTTGGGTTAAACCATGGCAGTGTTTTCAGGCATTTTCCAATAGTGCCACATGTTGGGATCATCTCCCCAGTTCAATAACATCAAGAAGTCACCTTCCAGACAAATTGAGCCTCGTTATCATAGTTGGAAAATGAAGGTTCTAACTACTTGGCAACAAACCCTTGATCTTTTATTTTGATTGATTTGTTTTCTATGGCTCATCGACCCTTTGCAGGTTATTTAAAGCCAGAAAATATTTTTAGATTGTGAGAATTTTTAGAAGAGATGTATTCATACCTTTCCCAAGGGTATATGCATGCAAGTGAATGCCACAAACCCAACAGGAATTGCTCTCCAATTAACAATTCTGAGCCATTATCCATTACATTACACCACATCCAAGCATACAGCACCTGGTATTCCCAAGCAGTCAGCCATCTAGGTACTGACCAGGCTTGATGTTGCTTAACTTCAGTGATCATATGGGAATCAGTCTTTATATATATATATATATATATATATATATATATATATATATATATATATATATATATATACTAAAACAATAATAAAAATAATATAAATACCCTAAAATTAAGTTACAGTTGTACTAAAAACTTAGAAATGATTATTAAGAAACATAATGCTAATATCTTGAGTAAACTCTTAGACCAAAATCTAAGAAATTTAGACAGTATAATAAGGAGAGATAAATATAAACAAAAATTATGTAACTGCAGAAATTCTGAAAACTGTCCTCTTAATAATAAATGTCCCACTGAATCATTAATGTACCAATGCAATATCTCATCTATTGAGGATCCAAACAAGGTAAAACGTCTACACTGGATGCACAAGACATGAATTCAAAAAACCTTTTAACCAACATGAAAGATCTTTTAGAATAAATAAATACTGAAATCAGACGTCTCTATCTAAATATTTCTAGCACTTAAAAGAAATCAATAAAAACCCTAACCTGAAATGGAAATAAAAAAAGCTAGAATATGCAGGTCATTATATGACCCATGTCCTTTGAGCATACATGAGAAATTATACATTACTAGCTATTTTTTGCTGACATTGTCAAAGATTTTCCTTAATGTATAAAAAAATGAAAAATGAAACATACATATTTATATTTGATATTTTAATAATAATTTTTAAATAATAAAGTAATTCTAATACATTTATTTATTTTAGAAAAAGTATAGTCTATTAGTAATTAGAATTAGGAATAATATTTTAAAATTGTATTTTAATATGACGTACTCATATTCAAACAACCCTTTTGGAAAAAAAATCTTTATGTATACAATCACAAATTTAACAGCAAAACAAAAGTGCCAAAATACTTTTTGTCACTGAAAAAAAAAACAGACAACATGCAAAAAACAGATGTCATCATTTGCTGAACAAGCACCCCTACCCTACCTTAACTTAACCTCATTTTGAAAGTAACTCATATTTTGATACAATAGTTGTCAGTGAAAATGAATACTCTATCACCCCTTGTCAAATTGATTGAATTTCCCCATATCCTTAGTAACTAATATTAAGAATGTATCTGCTTATAAAACTCAGTAGATTTCAAAATAAGTCATTCCAAAATTCGCTTGAAAATGAAACAGTACTAGGGATTTTAACTTAATTCTATAATTAAATTTGAAGTTTTTAGTTTCTGTTATTAAAACATGGTAATTCCTGTGTATCAATGGAACCATATTTTTAAATTAGTAAATTTATAACATATATATATATATATATATATATATATACATAGACAAATTGTTTGGCTGTTTCATAGTTCTTCAGTGTGGCTAGATGTCCGATTGCTTCAAGCCAGTATTGAAACCTGACCAATCATATTTTCTTTTTATATGTTATTTTTCATAGATACAATGTAATTAAGTAAATGCCCTGTTTTTAATTAAACAATATTAATTACATTTACCAGCCTGAATGTTCCATAAATTTCATAGAAAATATGCATTCCCTGAGAGGAATCGAATCTTTATTCCTATACAGAAGCTGTCATTTGACCTGACATGCTGCAACATTCAGCTACAGAGAAGTGGCTGGTTAGCCTAGTCTGAATTACTGTTTATAAACACATGATCTTTGATGAATTTTCTCGATTGGCCATTTCTACTCACACAACATATCTTAATGTAAACAATGACAACATATAATGAAATGGATTAAGTCTGATACATGGTTTGCTTCCTGTCAGAGAACGTATATAAAAAAACATATAAACAGAAAATATATTAAATAATTGTCAGACTTAATCCATTTCATTACATGTTGTCACTGTTTAATTGTAAAATATATATATATATATATATATATATATATATATATATATATATATATATATATATATATATAGTTATGAAAAACTTGGTAATCACTATGGGTAAAAAGGTAAAAGGGCTTCATGAAATAAATTATTATAATGGAACCTTAAAGTGGTCTGTTTTACTTAAAATATATATATATATATATATATATATATATATATATATATATATAATTGTCTTTAAAATAACCTGTGTTCATTCATTCAGAGAAATGAAGATCATGCTCATGAAATAAAAGAAACAATATTTTGGTTTTGTTGATGCCAGTCATCATTGATATTGGTTCTACTGTTTGGCTTGACACAACACATCTCTTCATCAGACAATGCTTTCCCTTTGGATTTATGTAGAAGTTAAAATGGCTGCACTTAAAACTGCAAGCATAAAAGACCTTGCATCAGATTCTATTTTTTTTTAATTGGTATCACCCTATGCAGGCCATTAAAACCACTAAGACACAAGGGGTTACTGGGTGTGAAAGAATTAGGAACAGAAACATCAATAATTAGCAGGAAGAGAAAAGAGTAATCAGGAGGACAGTAGATAGCGATTGAGATCTTGACACCAGTCTAATACTGTCCAAAAATTAAGAAATTTTCTATTAAGAGAAAGGACCTTGTGTTACATTCTTTGAAAAAAAAACCTTGTATCAGTCTTTGTGAAAAAGATATTGTGTCACATTCTTTGGTAATAAGAACTTGTGTCACAGTCTTCGTTAAAGAAATATTGAGTTACATTCTAGAAAAAAGACTTTCTGTCACATTCTTTACTAAAAAGAGCATGTGACAGATTGCTGGTTAAAAAGACCTTGTGTTACCTTCTGTTAAAAATGACCCTGTGTCATATTCTTTGTTAAAAAGAGCTTGTGTCACATTCTTTGCAAAAAGAGATTGTGTCACACTCTTTACTAAAAAGTCATTGTCTCACAGTCTTTGCTAAAATGACATTGTGTCACAGTCTTTGCTAAAATGAATTTGTCACATTCTCTTAAATACAATATTTTTTGAATTTTTTTTTTTTTGCTAAACAACCTTATGATGTTGCATTCTATTAAAAAAATAAACATTGTATCCTATTCTATAATATAGGGAAAATATAAATAAGTTCTTTTGCGATTACAACCCTACTCAAATAGTTGATTCCAACATTTTAACCTTTAGCACTCTGCATTATTAATATTACTTCCCTTTCCACTGTATTCTTTTTCAGACCACTCAATTGCAGCAACCTTATTGTTAATTTCATTCAAAGGTATTATCTGTTGCCATAGAAGGCTATGACAACACATCTCTGAAATTCAAATACAGAGATCAGAGTCACCTTAGGTGGCAGGATAAACTTTTTGTACAGCAAATGAAGTCACATACAGTATGATAAAGGTTACTAGCCATATGAATGCAAGCAGTTTTTTTCTCTCTCTCTCTCTCTCTCTCTCTCTCTCTCTCTCTCTCTCTCTCCCTTCATTTCCTATAGAGAATAAAGTTACAGTTTGGTTAAAATTCACATCACTGATAACTCACCCTCTTCTTGTATATCATAGATGCCATATTTGAATTTAATTTACTGTATTTGATGGCATATAAGACGCACAAGTGTATAAGACACACCCCAATTTCAGCCAGGCAAATCAAGAAAAAATTAGTAATTAGTACAATTAGTAAACTTACGTATGGCATATAAGATGCAGAGGAATTTTAAAAGATATTTTAAGTAAAAAAAGTGTGACTTATATACTATCAAATACAGTATCTAAAATCTAAAGATAGCAGATCTCAAGATATATCTGTTCACTATGATCTGGAATTCGAATAAAAACAGTGATAGCATGTACTTTGAATCCATCATAAAAATTCAGGATGTGGAATTAGTAAATACTAAATCCTTCAAAAACCTTGTTGTATGGATCAAATTTAGTATAAGAGATAAAGAAATTGAATGTGCTATATGTATTTATTCCCAACACTGCAAGTTGCTATAAAACCAAAACATTAATCTAAGAACTCCAGCCATGTTCTTAAATAGACTCATCGGATTAAGATTTTCAAGATGGTTATCATGCATGGCACCAAACCCATTCAGAAATATCCAAACTGCTGCAATATCTGGTCTGGTGCTCCTGCAATTCATCTTGAGGGTCTTGACAAAATCCAAAGAAAGATCTGCAATGTAATCGATTCTGAGTTGGCATCTCAATTTCAGTTACTTTCTCACTGACATAGTATGGTTTCCCTCTGTCTTTTCTACAAATATTTACATGGAAACTGCTCGGACAAGCTTTTTTTCCTGGTACCCCAAATACATGAATTTAAGCATCCTACTAGATTGGCATCTAGGTCCCATCCATTTAAAGATGAAATAGCTAAATGCAACTGCCACTTCTACTCCAACAGTTTATTTTTGTATACTTCCCACCTGTGGAACTTCCTTCCATTTACTTGCTTCCCTGATAACTACAATCTTCAAAAATTTAAATGTAATTTCAATCGCCATCTTCTCTCTTCTTGAACCATGTTCATCTTTCCTCAATCTTCCCTATATTCAGTTTTTTCTCTTACTTTCACTTCCTGTAACCTTCTGCATACAAGTGACATTTCTACCTTGCTTGGGGTAAAATAATGAAAATAAAAACAAATACAACCACTTTCTCAGATTAATGGTCAAAACTGTTGTCCAGCAAACATAGTGACTGGCACTCTATGGACTGGCACTACAAAATCACAAACAAAGAGCTGTACCAAATAATAGAAATCACTAGAAGACTACCAACAGCAGCAACAACAAAAAATGAATATTAGATTTAACTTGAAGAGAAAATAATGACATAATCAAGATGTTGATGTGCTGCACTACTTCAAACAAAAGGCTAGGAAGGAAACCCCATCAGTACTAGAAAATGTGATAACAGTGGACTTGAGAGACATATTTTCCTGAAAATTTTTTTAATAGAAAGATTTTATAAACTTCAACTGAAAGTAGCACTTCCTGTTTGGTCAGTGAATTTCAAATGTTTCCTTATAATGAAATGACTAATATTATCATGATAATTTCTATTTTATATCAACTAATCCCAAACTGGATCTCTTGAGCCTTGCTAATTCTAAGTTACACATCTCTGTTGCTACTATTCAGAT